CAGCCACTTGAGCAGCCACTTGAGCAGCCACTTGAGCAGCCACTTGCAGCCACTTGAGCAGTCACTTGCGCAGCCACTTGAGCAGCCACTTGCAGCCACTTGAGCGGCGGCAAGTGGCCGCAAGTGGCTGCAAGCGGCTGCTTTTTTGAAATTCAAAATGCGCTTCATTTGCACGCTCTCTGAACATTCCAAAGTCATGTTGAATCTAAAACATGTTGATTCCGCAAGACCATGCAAAGTGGAAAACTTCCACTCTTGTACCAGTCCGAAACAGTTGATTTCGACAGTGCATGATGGCGCCTCATATGCTTTCATCCCATCCCGTTTGTTGAGTCGAGATTGAACAAGATGAACATGCAAGTTGTTTGCATCTATAAACACACTTTTTATCAAGTTAGGCAACAACACGCTGGTTCCACTGGCGACGTGCTTCTCCTTCATGCTACTCATCACACTTTCTGTCTGCTGTTGACAGTGGACTTGCACTTATACGAGGATGTGGTCATGCCAATGTGGATACCACTTTAGGTTTTGGACACAAGAGCTGGGCTAGCCACAGTTCTATGGAATGGACGGCGCTAGACTGCAGGTTTTTTGCAGTGACAACGTTTCTTGAGCATGACTGCATTCCTCAGGCATAGCATGAGGCCTTGCTAGAACGTCTCTTCACGACATTCAGAAGCCCCTTCCACGTAAGTCAAAGAGCTAACTCACTGGGTTAGATGAAACGACGTGGAATCTGTGGGTTAGAAACTCGTCAAGCCTTCAACTGTTTTAATCTCTGGGCCTGAGAGCTGAGACTAAAGCCTTCAAGATGGAAGCACAAATTGGCGAGATTTCATCGGTCTTTCACCAGATTTCATTTCAGACATCTCACCTCATACATGTAATGGTCAAACCAGCATGAATCATACTATGAAACAAATCTTGATTGTGGACAATGCCACATGAGATGTGGCCCTTAATACATCCTTTGACCTGTAAATAAAGCGCAGGTAGTGTTGGTATATCGCCATGTCCAACCCACATCTGCCATCGAAGATTCATCGACATCTTGAATATCAAGACTGAGAGCTTCAGAATGAAGTCTTTGGTCTTCAGAACCTGGCCTGTCATGCCAGCCTCAATGGTTGACTCACTGGAGAGAGACACCGCAGCGCACAAGCCCGGCTCCAGTGGCAGCAGGCCGGATGGCTTGCGTTGTTTGGCCGTGCCGTATTTATCGAGTGACCGAAGGTCACGGCTCTGCCAACTTGTCACCTTGACATACAATCGCTATATGATGTTATTATATGATGTATATGTCTCTATCAAGCAACAATGAAATCACCTTACTTATTCTTGCGTGGTTTGCATCTTGCCTTACTTAATTCTGCCGCTTCGCACTCACCGCTGATTCGGGAGATCATACCTCGGGCAGCTTGCGTTAGACTGGCAGTCCTTTCTGCGCCGGAAAGGTAGCAAAATTAGACCTGTCTTCCTTTTCTTCTTTCTATGTTTCTAAGAGCGATGGCCTCCAACCTACTAGTACCTAACAAAGTCAGCACAGAAGCCAAGCTGTGTTTGGTTTTCATGTCTTCCAGTTTTCGGAACCAAATGCGGTCGCACTTACTTTTCATGCAATTGACACGGCCACACCTAACCGAGTAGGCATGTGAGTGCTTAACTTAGCATCAAGTTATCCCGATCTCTTGATGAACTTGGGGCCTTTGCAGCTGCAGACCCTTGGGAGAATGGGTGTTGTTCCGCAATAGAGTATTTTGATAGTGATCGATTCTTTTTTGTATGATCTATAATATGTGTTTCAAAGGCAGAGGGACAATACGGCAAAACCTCCCCGCACTGTTGCAAAGGATTGGGATGCTCTAGTCTTGCAGCAACAGTACAAGGCGCCAGTAGTTGAAACAGAGTATATTGAAACAGAGTGCGGTTTTGTGCTTTGCCCATTCCGGCATTTTGTTCACACAGTGAGAATATTGAATTTGCTGTGGACACGCAACGTAGGCACACATCGGTTCTTTGACCATGCTAGGTGAGACCGTTCTTTTTGCCGGAGAGAATGTCCTTTGACTCTTGAGTTCCCCCGTCCTAGTGTTCCACTAGGTCAGCTCAAACCTCGCACTCCCAGTGTTCCACAGTGGCACGCATGTGTGCGGGTGGATAGGAGAAGTTCGCTGGCCATGTTCATGACCACGAGTTAGCTCCTCAGAGCAGGGAATCGTGATTTTGCTGCCCAAGAGCTGCTTTTTGCCCAACTAACTAGCTCCCAGAGGAGGGAGATCTATTCTTTTCAGATTTAGACCTTTCTTTTTTCCTTCCCGTCCTTCCCTTCTTTATCCTTTTTCATTTCTTCTTTGGACCTTTGGACCCAATTTACTTTCTTTCTCAAAAGAACTGGACCTGTTCAGGAACAAGAAGCTACTAGGAGCAAAAGGGCATCGCTACTAGGAGCAAGGACGCTACTTGGGGCTCCTGGCCTTACTACTAGGAGCAATGTTCGCTACTAGGAGCAAAGAATAAATGAAGAAAAAGGTCCAAAGGTCTAAAAAACGAAGAATAGCCTTGTTAATTATGAAAGCCAGCCGTTGCCTATTGGCTTGAGCTTTTAGGGCGAACGAAGTGAGTTAAGAACCTTTTGATAGGGTGAACCCAGAGCTTGGTGGGGGAGAGCGCTCCAAAGCGAGGGTCCCAAAAGCAGTGAAAATGGGGTTTGGTGATGCGAGTGATGTATTGGACGCCGAGTAGTGCATCAAGCATCATGAAGGGCTTTGGGAGACTATTTGGACAATGGGCATAGAGGACTCGAGTGGAGACAGGGACCCACGTACAGGGACCCACGTAATGAAGCTTTAGCTTGACTGATAGCTTTTCCTTCATTCTTTTTGTTTCTCTTTGGGCCTTCAGAACTGTCTTCCTTCCGCTCCTTTGTTTACTTGACTAGACCTTTTTACACATACTTCACTCCCTCTTTCATTTTTGTTAAAGACTGCGATTCTAAGGACCTCGCGTCTTGGTTTTGATAACCAATGTGTAAACCAAGTCTGAACATAAGGGGTGATGATAAGTAAGAATCCAGGACTGAAGCTTAGCAGTGAACTGCTCCCTTACTTGTTAGCTTACTTAGCTTACTTGATAGCCTCCTCACGGCCTATTCCTCCCTCCCCGCCAGTCTTTTGCTTACTTGAGCCTCCAACTCCAACCAACTATCAATGGCCTCTAGCAATGGCCTCCAACCTATTAGCGATGGCCTCCAACCTAGCAATGGCCTCCAACCTGCTAGCGATGCCCTCCAACCTCTCAAAATAGGTCAGTGATTCTTGAGACTCTTTCCGAGGTCGGTGACCCTGGCGAATCTTGAGAGGAAGACCTCCATTTCGTTGCAGCAGTGCCTCTCCAGTCATGGCACCCAGAATGGAAAGCCGTTGTGGATGAAATCTATCTTCAGATTTCTTTGTAGATGACCAGCCGGAAAAGAAAATAAAGGACGCACCTAAATGAAAACCAGCCACTGTGTGGTTTGTGATTGGATGGAAGATTTGCTTCGTTTGCGATTTGAGACTCTCCTGGCAACATCGGACTTGGAACCTTTGCCCTGTGCAACCAGGCCTGGTAAAAGATGAGAATTTGACGGTCTATTGCCGTGAGTGTCTTGGTGGCAAGGTTGATGGGTCGTGCACAAGAGGAAGCGATGGCCTCCAACCCAATAGCGATGGCCTTCAACAGGGATGTTCAGAGGCGAATATGAAACTCTTTGACTTAAGCAAGGAAAGTGCTTGGGTGTTCAAGCATTTGCTTCAAGGGGTTGGAGAGAAGCTTCTTTGGAGAATCCGCCCTTTGTTCAAACAGGGTTCGGCCTGCAGGATAAGGAGACTTTAAGGTTGGAGGCCATCGCTTCTGGGTTGCAGGAAAAGGAAACTCTTGCGTCCACGTTTTTCTAAACTGTCGCACCGACGCTGAGGTGCACCAAGCAAGCTGAGGGTGAATTCACTGAGCCCCACCCTCAGCCCTGGAGCGACTTTTTAAGGGACCTTTAAAAGGCCGTTCTGCTCCCCTACCGACTAGCGATGGCCTCCAACCTACTTGCGATGGCCTCCAACCTAACCTCCAACCTCTTAGCGATGGCCTCCAACCTAAGAGGCTAGAAGACTGGGACATCACAGACCCTATACTGCCCAGGCCCTCTATTTTGCTTTGGCCAAGGGCTTCAGTGATTCTTTTTCTGAGGTCACCTCATGTGAAATCGCTCCGCTTCTGGGCATGCCCACCCTTATTGGCCGTGGACCCTGACAAAAGTCAGTGCTGTCCAACTATATCGAAAGAAATTTGCGATATCGAAAGAAATTCCATCGGCCCTGGTACTGTCTTCCGAAATCCGATGGGACCACACACGGAAATCCGATGGCCTCCAACCTACTAGTAGCGTTCTTGTTACTAATAGCGATGCCCTTTGTTCCTAGTAGCTTCCTGTTACTAGTAGTAAGGCCAGGAGCTACTAGTAGTGTCCTTGCTCCTAGTAGCGATGCGCTTTGCTACTAACAGCAAAAGTTTGACAGCGACATTTTGTACTGAATGACACTTTGTCATTGCCTCTTGTTTCTTGTGATGCTGGACATGCCCAAAGGTGCTTCAATTAAAGCGCTTCCATACCCGTTGTGGTGTTGCATACAAACTCTTCAACGAGGCACGAGCTTTAGTTGACATCTAGGGCTTGAAAACGACATGTTTTGCAGGTAACTTTTGGCCAATCCCTGAATCTCAAGGACGGATTGCTTTCGAAAATAGACATGTGGCGTGTGACATTTGGCAGTCGTGTGAAGGACTGTCTTTGTGATGGCACGAACGTTCGGCCGGCCTGATTTCAGCAAGGTTTGGTTTGTGCGAAGTTCTTAGGGTGAAGACATGGCGGTTCCTAGTTCATGTGATTTGTATTGACTTCGTATCGATCAGTACATTCAAAAGATCACCAGGTGCCCCCACCATAGCACAACGGGCACGTGGCTTTGCGTGATGTGCCAGGACTGCCACAGGACAAGGGCCTTTGTAGGCGGGACACTTGGAGTGCAAGGTCAGATTTAGAGCATCCACATGCCCGGCACAAATGTAGCCTGTGTCAGCATGTTCTGGATGTTTCATGCGTGCATAAAGCAGCAGGGGAAACCCTTGTCCGAGCAAATTGTGTTGGATTCCGAACTTGGTATTCTTCTCAATATCAATATCCGTGTTATCTGCATCAAGGGCTCTGATTTTGGTGGTTGTAGAATCTTTCAATGTGCTTCACCTGGCGATTGTAGCTAGAGTATCCTAAAGAATTGCTAATTAGGCCACTTCGTACCCTGGTTTATGTCTCTTGTTCCCTCCTTGACAATCGGAACGCTTGCATTAAGATGTCAGAATGGCAACAGAGCAACGGAAGACATGACAAGCTGTGGAAATGCAGCACCAGAGGAACCTGTTGCCAAGTGAGCAGACACATGCAGCGATGGGGTGTCACAACCTGCAAGTCCTCCAAGGTGTTATAGGAACTGCATTGGTTACGGCCCTGACTGTAGTGCAATACTTTGATCTTTTGATGCACGTTAACTCATCAGGAAGACGAAAAAATAAGCAGCTGCCGCTGGAGTATTTTCCTATATTGATTTGAAAGAAAGCTGAAAGCTTATAGAGAAGCAAGTAAAGACAAGCTTGATCATCAATTGCCGCTTCGGTAATGCTGTAGAAATATATTATCACGGATACACGGGTACACTAAGATTGGCACCGACCACTGCGAGAGCGATCTATGTCTGATGAGATGAGAAGATGGGTTGCAACCTCAGGGTGGGAACAAGATGGAACAAGGACCGAGGTTGGTCGCATTCTTCCTGACCCTCAAGAGAAACTTGGTAGACACTGGAGACTCAGATTCTTGATACGCCTGGATACTTCCGGCGGAATGATCCTTTCCAAAAGCGTACCCCGACTATTTCATGCAGCAACATTTGACAGCTCTTTTGGCAATTGGCAGGCTTTGACAGCCTAAATAATTTTACAATGCCAAGCATTGCTGAGCCCGTGGATAGCACTATCGTAACAAGTTATCCATCGACTAAGGCTGGCTTTCCCAGCCTCTCGCGAGAAATCACCGACTACAAGCTCTATGGTGTGTTTCGGCGCATTTCGAATCCAAAAGCGTGTGCGTCCAGTCGGCATTGCCGGTTTACCACATCGTGGAGGGGTCATTCCCGAATTGGTTTATTGACTCAGGTGGTCTACCACATCGGCGGTATGGGTGGGGTCCTCGGGAAGCCAGACAAAAGCCTCCTTTCAGGATTTTTCAGGAAGACTGGAACATGAAGTCCTGTGATGGTGCATGAGGTTCAGGTCACTACACAGCCTGCATCCTACACGATGGACAGTGGTGTCGAACTCAGATAGTGGTCACATCTCATTTGATTGCCAGTGTGAGATTCGGAGCGTGTCAACGAGGGTTGTAAAGCAAAAGATGAAAGAAACATAAACAAGGAGAACAGTTTGCAGTGACCATTTCACTTGACATTCTTAGATATTCTCAGTAGATTTACAGGTATTGCTTTAATGACGATCGGGTCTACACCATCTCCGAAGAGGAGTGCGGCCTTTGCTCGACATTTCATGACATTTCACTAGCAAGCGTCGAACTCGCGCATTGTGGCGCCACAGGATGTCCCTGGACACAATGCTTATTTGCTGTTCTACGCTCGTCTGATAGCCTACACCAGCAGCAAACAGTCCACTGACTTTGGCGAAATCACAGAAAATGTGTTTTGGATGTTCAGACATTGAAGTTCGTTGTTTGGACTCTGGCTGTTACACATCGAACGGCTCAAGGTGCGGATGTGGTGTCTGGGGAGATGGACCTTGAGGACCTCTTCCCAAATGAAGGACGTCAGGCGAACCATGCGGCACATCATTCGATGTCCAGTCGATTCTTGTAGGGAGGCCATCACTAGTCGGTTGGAGGCCATTTGACTCTTTTTCATCCTCTTTCTCAGGCTGGTTGCGCAGACATTGAACAGATCAAGAAGAGCCCCTGGGTGCGCCACGGGAAAGGGACGAAAGGGCCTAGTAGTGTCCTTGCTCCTAGTAGCGATGCCAGGAGCCCCTAGTAGCGTCCTTGCTCCTAGTGTGAAACAGAATAATTCCCCCCAAGAAATAAGGACGTGTATCAAGTGTCGGCCATTGTGTGTTTTTGGGAGTCTATAGTATTGAGGTCTTCGTGAGACTCCAGTCTCGAAGAGGGAAGCGAACACACTGACTGTCCTCCAGATGATCCTCCGCATTGTCCTGATTATTTTCCTTTCTAAAGATCTACCCTATCTTTCTGATTCTTCCTTCCCTTCACATTCTTCATGTTCTTTCAGGACCTTTCTCAGATTTTTCACTGTTTCTTTTGTGATTCCTTCAGATTCTGCCAGGCAGTGGACATGCACCGACTCACCTCCAGCAAGACTGGTCTCAGTCTGCCGGCCCAAGCTGTTCACCATGCAAGAGCTCACACAGCCAAGGTAAAGAGATTCAAGCATGTGAATAAGTGGAGAAACATATGACCATTGACAGTGTATATATAATACTAGTATATAAGTATAGCAATCTCAGCTGTTTGCTGTTCAAATTTGGACATGAAAACTCTTAAATGGATGGAAGTAAACTTGAACATGCAACTTGCTTAGCGTCTCGCATGCGCTCAGGTGCTGGACTGGGAGGCGACAGGCACATCATTCGCAGCATTTTCGAGTTGTTGAACTCTCACATGAAGCTTGTTCAGAAACAACATGAAACGAAAAGAAAGCAGCACAGCAAAACCTCAGCCGGATGGCGGCAGGTTCTGCAGTGTGAGCTAATACCTTGAGAGCGAGAGCCAAAGATGCTTGAGGTCGACTTGACTGCCCCATATATAGATCGAGAAAAGCTACGATTCTAGGATCTGAAAAAGAACCTTTGTTACTAGTAGCGATGCCCTTTGTTCCGTTCGTAGCTTCTTGTTAGTAAGGCCAGGAGCCCCTAGTAGCGCCCTTGCTCCTAGTAGCGATGCCCTTTGTTACTAGTAGCGTGGCACCTGTTACTACTAGTAAGGCACTTGTTACTAGCGATGCCAGGAGCCCCTAGTAGCGTCCTTGTAGAGCCTTCAGTCGGCACTCGAACTCGGCCAAAGTGCCGAACTCGCGGTTAGCGCCGATAGCCAGCCACGTGCGCTTCGAGCGATCACAGCGTAGCTGCAACCATTCATTACATTTATTGTTTCTAATAGCGTACTTCTTCTAGTTTCTTACTAGTTTCTTGTTACTACTTGTCACTAGAAGGGATGCACTTGTTACTAGTAGCTTATTGTTTCTCGTTAGTTATATACTAGAAAGCTGTATATTGTTAGCGATGGCCTCCAACCTAGTAGCTTCTTTGTGTTTGTGTTCCGGAACGAAGCATGGGTATCAGACCCAAAGCTCCATTTCGGCTGTTGCGCCACTTGACACGTTGCGCCCTTCTGCAGCCATTTTGGGTACCGACTCCTTCTCGCCTCCCTGAAGCGGGGCAGTCATGCCGGAGGCTGAGGCAGAGGGCGAGGCCATCCAAGTGGAAGAGGACGAGGAGTCCGAACTATGTTCTTTTGATAGAAGAAGGAGAAACAAGAGAGGCGCAAGGACGCTACTAGGGGCTCCTGACATCGCTAGGAGCAAGGAGTCTAGGCGAGTGGAATTGCAGGAGCTGCAGGCGTGGTATGAGGACCCACAAGGCGAAGTGGACGAGAGAGGCCAAGGAGGGCGTTGAGCACCCGGGTCTTGCAAGCTTTTGTTAGCGTTGCCTCCAAGATTTTGTTAGCCTTGTTTCTACTAGCATCTTGTTACTACTAGTAAGGCACTTGTTACTAGTAGCGATGCACTTGTTCCTAGTAGCTTATTGTTCCTGCTAGCTAAAAGCAATGGCCTCCAACCTGAGGAATTATATGGAGGTTGTCGTCCTGTGGTTTGTTCGCGTAAGCAAATTCGCTTGGGGGCGTAGGCTCGCGTAGGCATTGTTGGGGAATGTCTTCGCGTAGGTTCCTTGCGTAGGCACCCCTTTTCATACAGTTTGATTGCTTGAATGTGTTGCGTCTCATGGTTTCGGTGTTTTGCTAGGACAGGGGCTCAGTTCAAATGGACTCTGGCCAGCAAGGAACAAGATCCCGACACTGCACACATGCAAACAAACGATGCAGATAGTGCGTGAAATTGCTGTGGCAAAGCCATTCTTGCCAACAGCGGCGATGGTGGAAATAGGATGAAATACATGCTTTCTCGCGTAGGCCTCGCGTAGGCTTCGCGTACACGCCGCGTAGGCGGACCTCCCGTACCCAACGTCTCCCCACAACTGTCTTTCGGCTGACAAGTCTTGCCTTGCAGCTTGCTGGCA